GTCCAAAAATTCAAACTTTTACGACGAAGTTATTTCCGACATCGCAAAAAAGGAGAGGCGGATTAAACTACATTGTAAATAGGTAGGTATGTGCATGTTAACTACTTAACTGGCTGGCTCAATTTATAGTTGGCTAGAGAGTGCACGATGGCTAGTGTGACTGAACAAACTCTCTATTTCGCTGCGGGTTTAATCCTCGCCACCGGCGCTGGCAATGTCGGTGGATATGGTTGTGTGTCTGCGTTTTTTTCATAAGTGTAACCCTCGCCCGTGCAGCTTCGGCTTTGGAATCGGGGATTGTCTAATTTTTGTGGTGTTTTTATGTTTTATGTTTATTGAGGAGTGGCGGTCCTACAAGTGTACTTTTTTCTAGATATCATAACTTTGCAGCTTTCGACATTTGCTTTAAAATGAGTATACGGAAGCCACGTCCCTTTTCTTAAAATAATTTTTGCCTCGCTTCGCTCGGGGCCTTGCGCTACCCATCACGCTATATCACAAACTGCTTCCCCTGTATCAAAACTCACCGCACGCCCCTGTAAAATACCTTACTGTTAATAAAATATTTTAAACATGAAGTTTCAATAATCATTTACGCATAGAAAGAAAGAAATACTAAATAATATATATGGGCCTTTACTGGACTTTTACTCAGCTAGCATCTCTAGTAAAGACTTGGTAAACAACCAGTGTTTGCTGTTTACTGGGATATAACTAAAATCATTTACTTAACTGCTAAATAAACATTAAAATTTGTTACTAGTCAGAAGAAGAATAAGTGTAATATTTTACGGTTAATAATTAAATTGGATTGATTTCTAAAGTATTTACCTGTTTTATATATTGGTATACAAGTTATTTTTGTAATATTTCCCTAAACAATTAATTGATGAAATAGGATAGGCCAATTTAGTTTTCCCCTTTCCGTCTTTTACATAATATTCATAATGGACTATGGGTTATTTAGAAATCAGTGCTTGGTTACAGGACAAGGTGATCCTTATAAGTATATCGAGAAAATTCAGAAAATGATTCTTGAACCTGTATGTTTTGAGATATTGTCTATAGTTATTTGTGGCATCTATAACGTTTTCTTTCTCACCTTCTTTGACTATTAAGCCACTGCCAATTTTGAGATGAAAAGCTAAATGATGTTTTGCTTCGTTTCGGAGATAGTGTGTTGATTAAAAAAAAACTCCTGAAATCTCTGTAATGCTTGAGGATTTTTTATCAAACTTGCTGTGTATAATGAGTACTTTTAGAAACTTCTTTGTTGTAAACATTTAGAGCATCTTTTTTTAAATTAACACTGTATCTCCGAAATAAATTTATTGACAAAACATCATTTGAGCTTTTCGTCTTACTATAGGTTTGGGAATCGTTTTCTGAATTTTTTTTGATGCATCTAGTTAAGGATTACCCTGTGTATATTAGTTATAACATGTAAAAATCTCCGTTTTGTCGGAAATCATAATTGATGAACTGGAACATGCGAGAAATATAAATTATAACATTTTCGAATTGGTTGGTCGGCATTCTTAAACCACCTTGTATAAACGTAATTTTGTATTTTCGTCTTTGCTTAAAACTATATGCAAAATTTCATTAAAATCGCTTTATAATCATCAAATTAACAGACAATTAAACATATGTGTTTTAAAAACCATGCCAAAACATTATACGTTGTAACATAAGTATATAAAATTAACATAATTCATAAACTTTAAAGTTTTAAACGAAAGTATATCAATGTACGCTATTTCAAGTCAGGCATACAGATGACGTATTCCCGCCATTAATTCTATTGGTCAAAAGTTAAGAGGTAACCTACTTCTTTACGGATCTCGAAGCTTATATCCAATCAGCAGCCGAAAACGAAAACACCATAGTTTTCATTTATTAATACATGTATTAGAACCAGGCAAAAACATTTATTTTATGTTGATTGAAATAATCAAATAAATAACAAATGTGGCAGATACTTAGGGTGGCTAGTTTTCATTGAAAAACCCTGTATATTCGATTAGTAGACACGCTGAAGAAATTCTGTTATTTTATTTATCAGCATACGTCGTAGAAAGAAGCGTTCTATAAATTTTGTAGAATAATACGAGCTATTCGACTTTAATACCTTCATAATAGGGCGATGGTAGGAAGTTAGCTGCGATATTAGCTGCAAACGTAGCCCTATTCGTGTGAGATAACGATTATATTATGACCTAGAGTTAAGCGCCTTATGTTTAAAGCAATCTTCAAAAGCCATCAAGACTTTGTTTGTCACACGTAGATGTTGCATGTTTTCGATGGAATATTTTTTTTAGCCTCTTTTAATATTACCACATAAAGCTTATCGTATTTAGCAGAATTGTTGGTTGGCAAACGCTATTAACTTCAAATCACTATATAAAAATATTATAGCCCATACAGATTGAACACATAGTCAAGTCGAAGATGAAGGATATGTTTATACAGTTGTATTACTTTTACCCATATCAACTCATAGGAATGTTTACATAAATAAATAAATTTTATTTCGAACAGAAATCACCATGACCTCTTGTTGAAATGAATTATATCAAAAAGGAATATTACGTCAGCTAAGAAAAATGATTTTTTTCATAATAATAATAAGGCACGAAAGGTTAATAATTACTAAATTTATACCATACATCCCATATGATTTAAATTTAATACTCCTGCGAGGTGTTATTTCACCAAACACAATCTTAACATTATCAAATATGAAATAATGATTTGTCAAAATGGTGAATTGCAAGAGCAGCTTTCTTATAATTGTGACTTTCATTATATGAACATGTACAGTTTATTTTAAACTTATTTGCAACATAAAAAACGTCGGCTTCTTTGCCTTTACCGACTTAAAAGAAGCCGGCGTTTTTTATATTGCAAATTAGTTTGAAATAAACTATATGTACCTTGATTCTAGTTATTAACAATTATACCTCATCACAACTGAAAGACATTACTACATTTGATTAATGCCCAAATCCTAATTGATTTATTTTATTATTTATTATTATAGTCCAGTATAAATTTCCAACTTTTTTTTATACTAAGAACATAACATTAATAGTATATTATGTTACTAGGAGGAGAAGGCGAACATTACATGTTGAGCCCAGAAGGGCGAAACATATAGTGTGCCCTCTACTCCAAGTGACATATACTATTTTTTCTTCAAGCGTCAAAATAAAAAAACTGCGACTTCAATTTCGAGAAATGACATCAAATATGTTCAATTTTGGCAAAGCAATAAAATATTGGTAATACTAACCATTTTATTTATTAATTAAGCACAACATAGTCCTAACCACTTTATTTATAAATTAACCCTTTCACCGGATTTGTCCCTTGGGAGGGACATCATTTTCTAGAGCACATAGTGGCAGATTTTGTAACCGGATAAGCATTAGTTGCTTTGTCCCGTGCACAGGACGACCTTAGAAAACAACACATGAAATCTGCGCCCTCTCTGATCTCGGTTACGAATTAGCGATGTAAACAAATCTCAGTGTGTAATGGCGAGTGACACGTGAGCTTATCTCTGTTAAATGATTTAATTGTTTATTGTGTTAAAATTTGTCTGATTTTTTTTTTCGTTGCTTTTCTCGGTAAGTACAAATTATAGCTTATAAAATACACTTTGTTCCTTTACTCTTAATTTCGTGTATTCCCTGAAATTGATGTTTGAAAAAGTATGTCCCACTGCAATGACAAATACAGTTAGTATACAATACTTACAGGATAATAATTAGTACACAGTTTGTTTTTCAAAGCATTATAGTCACAGTGCACGTTTAGAGAATGCATTAGTAAGGATGCTATAGTCATTACGAAGTGGTATGATAATAAACCTGTTATAATGGGATCAAATTTTGTTGGTATTGGAGAGAAGGACTTCTGTAAGAGGTGGGATAAAAAGGAAAACAAATATATTCAAGTACCTAGGCCAGAATCTGTAAGAAGGTATAACAGCGGCATGGGAGGGGTAGATAAACATGATTTCTTGTTGAGTATCTATCGCTCGTACGTTAGATCCAGAAAATGGACAATAAGACTCATTACACATGCGGTAGATCTGGGATTAGTAAATGCCTGGCTAGAATATAAAAAGGAAGCTTCTCAATTGGGAGTTTCCAAACAGAAAATACTTGACTTGTTAGCTTTTCGTCAGTCTGTAGCGGAACATCTAATACATATTAAGAGACCTCCAAAAAGGGGCAGACCTTCATCTACTGATAATTTTGTAGAACCATCTAGAAGGCACAGATACGAGTCGAGACCTGTCAGAGTTTCAAGATATGATGGTTATCATCATTTTCCGGAATATGATGAAAACAAAAACAACTCAAGATGCAAATTGGAGGGTTGTAAGGAAAAAACACACGTATTTTGTGAAAAGTGTAAAGTACATTTATGCTTCCTGAAAGGCAGAAATTGTTTTAAGAAATTTCATTGTTTTCTATTATATATAGTTTCATGTTTTGAAATACAAATTTATTTTTGTAATCAAATAACTACATATTTTTATTTTGCGTTTGTTAATTTTAGTAAACTGGATTAGTCCCTTATGTAGGACACTTCAAAAATCGAAAAGGGAGGGGATATTTAACTTTTTTTTTTACAAATATTTCATAAACATGAATAATTTATTATGTTGAACATGGACTAACAATTTTTTGTGATCACTTTTAGAATTGCCACTGAAATGGTTTTAAACATATAAGAGTAGCATATTTTCTGTATAAATATAAATAAAAATTTCCAATTATAGTAAATGAGCGATGTTTTTTAGTTTTTGTGTTGGGAATATTTACTAATTGTAAGATTAAATCTCCCAAATCTTTTATATCACAACTTTTATATGAACAAGTTCATCGTATCTACAAACTCCTGTGACTCCAAATATTAGTACAACCTAAAAAATATACTATGTTAATTTTATAAAAGTAAAATAAAGTTAGAAAGAGCAAAAAAAAAGTTAAAAGTACAGGATTCGAACCTGGGCCTTCAAATTACGAGTCCAACACTGACCACTCAGCTATATCCGGAGTTAATCAAAGCTTCAATTCTTATTATTTTCGTAGCGGATAGATATAATATAACTGGAATTTCACAAATTATAACAACATTTTATATTACAGATATAAAAGGGTTAAATATATAATTTTAAAATGCGTACATACCTTTGTTGCTGAATATTTAACATTAGGTGCTTTACTAAGGAATTCATCAAACTCTTCTTTAGACAAAACTTTTGACTTTTTTAGGTTTATAATTTTCGCCTTGTCGCTTTAAAAAGACAATTAATTTAGAATAGCTGTCAATTTTTACATTGTGTTCCATGTTTAATTTAAATTTTACTATTAAATATTGCGCCCATAGAGTTGAACTTTCAGTTTTTTGGATAAATGTGTAAAATATGCTAGGTATCATCACATTTTCCGAATACATATGTACGTTGTTGTCCTTGGCCCATTTTATAAATTTATCGTATGCATTATTGTAAACTTTTTTGGATTTCGCGAGAATTAATGTTGCCACTAATGAATTTGCAATTTCAAGTAATTCAGGTGGTGTGCACTGCATTTCTTCAGACATTTTTGCTTTTAAATGTGACAACCGACCCGACGTGAAATTTAAAACTGACAGTTAAGACAAGTCATAGCTACTTGGATTTTAATTCGTTGTATGATAGGTACACTGCTGTGCAAAACTAAGTAAGACAGCACTTATTACTGTACCTATAAGAGTTAAAAAGCAAGATAAGAAGAAAGGAGTATTAAAAGAAGGCCTTTAACTGGGAGACGGAGGATAAATGACGGTTGAATACGATCAACAATTAGTAAATTATCTGCGTGGAAAAGCGGATACATTTATATTACATATATATTACCCTACTACTGTCACTGTTCTACTTACTTTTGCACAGCAGTGTACATTGTTTTATTTTTGTCCTAGGAAAAAAATGAAAAATATTTGTATAGTATAAAAATAGGCTCTTTCTCCAGGTCGTGTTGCAATATATAATGTAAGTATTGTTACACGCTTGAAGAAAAAAATATTTAAAATTCATTTAAAAAAACATTAATTATATGATTTGTCAACAGCGATGTTTATAATTAAATGGAAATAAATTATAAATTATTATACAATTATATTTACATAGATTTTTTAAAATATTTTACTTGGAACCACATATTTTATGCTTATGAGATATCTGATAAAAAACAAATGATAATCGACTTTTAATATACTTTTTAAATAAAGGAAAGGTAGTCCACTGATACTGTGTTAAAAAATGAATTAATTATAAACGATTTTCCCAAAGGTATATTAAATTAAAATTTTTACTCAAAGCATCAGAGCTAGCAAAATTAGGTTGATTGTGTATTTAATTACTTTTGTGTATCAGGTAAAATTATAATTTTTTTTATTAACTCGACTCAACTCAAACTACTTTATCATATTTCCATTAACAAAAACGTTTATAGCTTTATATAGTTTTAATTAAATTTTTTTATATAAATTACGAAAAGATTTTAGAACATTAACGTACGTATTAAAAAATGGGTAACAGCTAGGTGCTCCTCAACAATAATTTCTCATCAACATAATCAATTTGGCATGAAATTACTTTAATTGAAAATATCTATTTATTGCATTTATTTATTTATATAAAATAATTAAAATGACCAAAATAAACAAAATAAATAAGATAAATATGATAAACATGATAAATAAGATAGATAAGCCAAATAAGATTAATGAGATAAATGATATAAATGATATAAATGAGATAAATGACACAAATGAGATAATTGAGACAAATTAGACAAATGAGACATATGAGATAAATGAGACATATGAGATAAATAAGATATATGAGATGAATGAGACAAATGAAACAAATGTGACAAACGAGACAAAGGAAATAAAATAATTCATTCTTCGTTCATATTTAACTGGCTATGATGTGGAAGTACTACCGACATCGACTTTATTTTTTTAATTGAACTAAATTAATTTTAAACCTTTTTTCTCAGTAACGGTTAATCTTACGAGACATTGTCAAGTTATTTTTTGCACATTTTCTCATTCTGAAAAATTTTTATTTTAAACATATTTTAAATTGACGCAAATTATCTTTTTTCCTTTTAAGACATGCCCTCCTTGTTGCACTAATTTCACTGATATTCAATAGGGTTCATCCTTGGACCTGACAAATGTAATATGTAAAATTTCAAATTTCCGCGTTGAGATGTGTTTAAAGGAAATGCGGCCACAACAGTGACTAGCGACATACAGACATACAGGCGGCATGTCAGTTCGGATAAATTTTCCACTTTCGAGTCTCAAAACGTTCATTTTCATCATAACCTGGAATTTGATTTTTCTCACAACGCCAATACTTTATCTATAAATAGATATAAGAGTGAAAATTAATTATTATGTTGAGGTTTAACCAATATATGAATGATGTGGCAATGTAACATACAATCTAGATCAAAGGAAGTCACATTTATAGGAGAATGCTGTACGGAACATTGTTGTATCTGTTTACATGGGCGCCGCCAGGGATGGGTAAGAAGGGGCAGTTGCCTCCTACTGGAATATAATGAAAGGTATCAAGTTTCAAGACAAATTGCTGGAAATGCAGTGATTTGCTGTGAATTAAACCAACATTTATTTTTATTTTTTTTTCCAAATTTGTACAGCAAAAAAGTAAATCGCTGTGTTACGGTTGAATTCATCATTGTGAGAAATATGTATGTATATTAAGTATAAAAATCAACTAATTCATTAACTCTATTTATAAATTACATTTTTAACATCACATTTTCAAAATTTACTTCACAAAAATTATTATTAGTAATATTTTATCCATTTGCATTAAAAGGTCACGTCTCAAGATTATATCGTAGACGTCATGGTTTCTGTTTAACATTATATCTCTGTGAGCAATAGAAATATTCAATTTCTAATGCCATCAGTTAAATGTCATTTATTCGAATAGTATTGGCAGTGTTTAATTGTTGTCGGGATTGCACACCGAGTTGATCTGTTGTCACGTGAGCTCGTCTGTTCTGTATAGACTGATCCGTTATAAGATCGTTATCTTGTGTGTGAAATGAGTAACCATGGAATGATTTGGACAATAGTTGGGTGGTTTGAAGTAATTCCAGACTGATACTACTTAGACCGTTTGAGTTAAGTATGTTAGTACATTAATTATATTAATGGAACACACTTCAGCTGTTAGTACTGGGGTTGACAAACCTTATGGATTCTGCAAATAACCCAATCTCAGGCCGTGGTATTTTGTGATTTACCTTGCATAAATATTAATTCATATAATTTTCTTATCTTTCTAACTTTTCTAATTAACGTTTTACATTTTCTATTTGTCAAGTATTGATACATAATTTCACATTCATTCGACAGGTTACCGACCTTGATATTTTCTAGCTAGTGACTTCTCTGCGTATTCTGTCTATCTATCACGTTATAGCTCCGCGGTTGATTTCTTTCCTTTTTCGTAGTCAGTCGTCTTAGTGAGCGGACGTACCTACATTTTGTGTCTTGTAGTGGTGGAGGATTGAAATTTTGATCCAAAATTATTTTAGTGGATCTTAATCTTCGTTGTTTTGGGATTATTTCTTTCACTTAAAGGATGCTACTTAGTATCTTATCAGCTAAATGCTGGATTATTTAGGGTGCTACTTAGTATTTTGTCAGCTAAATGCTGGATTGTTTCTACAAACAAAACATGTGTATGGACGTAGGACTTTGCCCTATAGAAGATTAAGTTTTTTAAAATTAGGACAATAATTAACAAGTACTTACTTGTGTTTCTTATTAAAATTTTAGGCAACTGTCAAGGGGTTTTCACTGGGCTTTTATTAGACCACCACGAGACACACTGGATTTCGATGAATGATTCTTAGGAAAGGTGGCTAAACCTTGGCTGTTATTAACTATCAGGGGATTATCACGGAGTTATCATAGGACTTTTACTGGGTTTCGACTTGGTGAATTGTTGTTTAAAATAAGAACGTTATATGGCTCCGCTAGGTTATGACCTAGGTAATTTGTTCATGTTGTAAATGTGGTTTTTATGTACTTTTGATGCCATGCAAAATGGAATTTTATCAAGTCTTGCTAATGTGCCGAGTAGAGCTGGATTAGAGGGTCGATTTGTGTTTTCGACAAGTGTTGGAAGTCAAGAACCAATTAATTCCATCGTCGAGTTTTGTAATGCTGCAGTTTGGTCAATGGAACAATATTGGTTTGGTGTTGTAGAAACCAAAATTGAACACACTTTTCAACTCTCGGATATTAAAGTTAAGTTTTAATATTCTTTTTTTTATGTACTTATTAGTAATTTCGACCTTGATGTAAATAATTAATCATTTATTTTGTGCATGTTTTTTCAATTTTACTTATTCAAATTTAAATTAGTACTGGTACTCATGTTGTAAATATAGTCCAGTCAAAATTAGATCTGTGATAGATCGTTGAACTTTGATTACGAAAAATGTAATAATAGTGATATCTAGATATAAATATTTTTCTTATATGTTTTTTTTTTTGTAAACTACGTGCAATTGCATTTGGTATAAATCAACCTACTGGTATTACATACTTTTGTTTCGGGGATAGTTCGTGAATTAAAAAAAAATTTCACATCTATTTGTAAATATTTCTTTTATATTTAAAACCTGGCTGATTAACTGGACGTGATATAATTAAATATTTTATTAAACTTATGTTGTTTAATTTCCCAGAAGAGGTTCCATTAAAAATATAAAGTGTGTTAAGGTATACCAAATTCTCTGGTCAAATATTAATTGTTTATTTCTTGAATTTAGAGTACCTACTGAGAAGCTGAAGGCACCAGTTTCGTCTGTATGACACTGGTAACCCAACCTAGGATATAAAGAGTTAGCCGAGGACTGGTAAGGTGTTCAATTTTATTTTGGTACAACGTTTTAATTGACACCCAATGGGCATAGCGTTACATTTTGATGCCCAACATAAAAAAAATA